AGCCTTATTTACAGAGTGAGTTCCAGGTCAACCAGGGTCATATAGAGAAATCCTGTCTGGAAAAACAAACAAACAACTCAAAAAAACAAAAAGAAGCGAGAGTAGGGAAATCTCTGTGAGTTGAAGGCAGCCCAGTCTACATAGTTTCAGGTCATCCAAGACTACATAGAAAGACCTTGACTCAAAACAACACCCCCCACTTGCCCCTTTCCACACCAGTGGTGGGCAGGAGAGCTGGCCCCATGGTCGTGAGAGCTGGCCCTGTCCCTTGCCAGCTGCAGGGGCTAAGAAAGCCCTGGGAGAGGGAGGGATTTACCTCCTTGGGCAGCACAATAGCACTGGCCCTGGTGGAGGAGGCACAGGTGAGTTAGAGACCTGGCCCAGCCCCTTGCCAGCTTTGGCACTGAGTGAGCTAGCCAGGCAGTGTAGGAGACTAGTCCCAGTGATAGAGGTGCAAGACAGCTAGCAGGCTGACCAGCTCAGCTACCATACAAGCTCAGATCCAAGCCTTTGAGTCGGCCTACCCCAACATCTACCCCATCTATGAACTGTTCATGAAGGGACTGATCTTGTAGATCCAAAGTTGCAGGATCTCCATGACACAGGGTAACAACAGACTAGCTGGGAGGAGTCTCACTGAGAATCTAGTATTGATACTATAGCAGAAACCAGAGGCCTTGAACCAGACCAATGACTCATTGCAATGAACATTTGCAAGTAACGATGTGTGGACAAAAGGATACACTGTGGGACACACTGTGACACACTGCAGCTTCCATGACCAGATGTTTTTGTTTTGTTTTGGTTCTCTCCACTGTGGTCAAACTCAGGCCATCAGGTGTGATACCAGGAACCTTTAAATACATTTAGAGTGTGTGTGTGTGCGAACCTTTAAATACATTTAGTGTGTGTGTGTGCGCGCACACGTGGGTGCGTGTGTGTGTGTGTTTATGTGTGTGTGTAACAGATCATGTGGAGAAGTCAGAGGACAACATTCAGAAGTTAATTCTCTCCTTCTACCATTTAGGTCCCAGGACTCAAGCTCAGGTCGTCATCAGGCTTGCCAGCAAACACCTTTATACACCTTTATACACTGAACCATCTTGACAGCCCCAATCTCTTTTAGTAGGACGACTTAGGCATTGTTTCTTGAATACAGCTTAGGATTGTAATTATTTTTTTTCTTTTAGAATTATTTTGTTTTATGTGTATGCGTGTTTTGCCTGTGTGTATATATGGGTACTGTGTGCAAGACTGGTGACCTCAGAAGCCAGAAGAGCATATTGGATTTTCTGGAACTAGAGTTTGGGATGGTTCTAAAACAACCGTGTGAGTGCTGGGAGCCAAACCCAGGTCCTCTGCAAGGGCAATGAATGCTCTTTACTGATTCACTGGCTCTCAAGCCCCAGAACTGTAATTTTTTTTAACCTAACACCACTGACTGGGTTGGACTGTTAAGACAGGGTTCTGTTGTTTTGGCTTCTGAGCCTCCCTTCTGATAACAACAGTTCTCTACCTCTCACTCATGTGTGCTTCTGGTGGTATGGTGACTACACAACCCTCTACCCTAGCCATACGTCTTCCCTGGGCTGTAATCATTATTCAGCTAATGGTCATGTGATCCAGACTCGTCAAAGTCCTTCCCCAAGAGAACAATTGGAGAGCAAGATCTTTCCTCCAGAGTTTCTGTTCTTTCATCTGTTTTTTGCAATTGGTTGGTGAGGGGGGATGGGGCTTGCTACACAGCCCAACAACTCTCATGTAGCTAAGGCTAGCCCTGAAACCAAAATCTTCTTGTCTCATCCTCCTGAGTGCTCTTCCAGGATGATGATGATGATGATGATTATGATGATAACTACAAGCCCATAGCTGCCTGTGCTACACTGAGCAGAGGGGAAAAAAAATCAAGAATGAAAAGGAGACAAGAACGGAGGTACAGTTAGGATCCTCAGCTTCTGATGGTTCTAAGGCTCCTTCCATGTTCGAGACAGGGTTTCTCTGTGTAGCCCTGGCTGTCCTGGAACTCACTCTGTAGACCAGGCTAGCCTCGAACTCTCGAACTTAGAAATCCGCCTGCCTCTGCCTCCCAAGTGCTGGGATTAAAGGCGTGCGCCACCACCCGGCTTGTCTTTTATATTCAATATCCATTTGTGATTTGGCCAGGTTGAGCCTGGCTTTTGTGACATAAAAAACTGATCAACACATAGTTTTGACTGGATATGGTGGCTTGCACTTATAATCCTAGCATCCAGGCAGCCGAAGAAGGATAACTGTATCAAACTAACACAAAGTACACAGCTCTTCTTGGCCATCTGCACAGAGTTTTGATCCTAAATGAAAGTCTTCATATTCATCTCTATTAGGTTTCACCTTACCCTATCACCCTGACTTCAGGAAAAAAAATGGTAGAATTCTGATCTTAATTTATTATCTAATCCTATGACTTTTGATAGAGTGCTTACAATTTATTTATCCAAACATCTCAGTGTTGAACTGCACAGAGTAAAGACAGACAGACAGACAGACAGACAGACAGACACTCTCACTTGTAATCCCAGCATTTGAGAGGCTGAGATAGGAGGACTGGCAAGGGTTTTTAAGACCAGTCTGGTTTATTTACACAGTGGGTCTCAGGTAAGGCTGAACTAGAGGGAGATCTGTAAAGAAAAGAAAATGGCTGGATAGTTGGCTCAGAGGATCTGGGTTTGTTTCCCAGAGCCACAGGGCAGTTTACAACCATCTGTAGCTCCAGTCCAAGCTGATCTGATGCCATCTTCTGACCTGTGTGGGTACTAGCACATATGGGGTACACAGATTTACATGCAAGCAACACACACACATACAATAATAAAATAAACAAATCTAAAAAGAAAAGAAGGGGCTGGAGAGTTGGCTTAGGTATTAAAAGTACTTGTCGGTCTTGTGTTAGACTGGGGATTAATTCCAACACCCATGTCAGATGGCTTACAGCCACTGGTAACTAAAACTCCGGGGGATCTGACATCATCTTTTGGCCTCTGAGGACACTTGTAGACACATGCACACACATACACACAAATAAATCTCTCTTTTTAATTTTTAAAACCTTTTTTTTGCCACCACCACCACCACAAACCCCAAAGCACAGAAAAACATCTCGCCGGGCGGTGGTGGCACACTCGTTTAATCCCAGCACTTGGGAGGCAGAGGCAGGCAGATTTCTGAGTTCGAGGCTAGCCTGGTCTACAGAGTGAGTTCCAGGACAGCCAGAACTACACAGAGAAACCCTGTCTTGAAAAAAACAAAAACAAAAAAACAAAAAAAAAGGGAAGGAAGAAGAAAGGAAGAAAAAAAAGAAAGGAAGGAAGGAAGGAAGGAAGGAAGAAAGAAAGAAAGAAAGAAAGAAAGAAAGAAAGAAAGAAAGAAAGAAAGAAAGACATCTCATCATGGAAGCTGTAGTGTATCAGTGTGTCCCAAAGTATATCCCTCTGTCCACACATCTTTTCTTGAAGATGGACATTTCAGTTGGTCTGGTTTGAGGTCTCTGCCTTCTGTGATACCATCAATATTGGATCCTCACCAGGACTCCTCCTGGTTATCCCATTGCTGCTCTGTGTCATGGAGATCCTGCAACTTTGGATCAGCAGGACTGGCCTGTTCACACATCTCAATTGTTTGCAGGTAATATAGATTTGGGGATGGGCCCACTCAGAGCTCTCGATCTGGGTCTGAGCAGTAGCTGAGCTCTAGTTGGCCAGCCAGCTGTCCCTTATCAGCTCCAAGGTGAGCACTGCTCCAGCTAGGCCACCCACTGCCACCATTGGCAGGAGGCATGTGTGCTCTCTTGCCCTCAGGATAACTCACTCACATGCACAACTCCAGAGTCAGCTCCACTCTGTTACCCAGTCAAAGCACAGGGTCTCCTTTCCCAAGTGCTACAGCCTGCAAGGGGCTGGGCCAACTCTCCTGCTCTTACACCCTTGAGGCTGGTTCACTCATGTCTTCTCCACCAGAGCCAGTCCTACTGTGCTGCCCAGACAAGGTGCAGGACCCCCCTCTCCCAAGTGCAGCAAGCTGGTAAGAGGCAGGGCTAACTCATCCACTCTCATGACCTGGGAATCAGCAATCCTAGACTGCCTTCAGTGGTGAGGGGGCAAATGAAGGGCACCTCCCAACTCCCATCCCACCCAAGCCACCTCAAGGCAGAGGAGTGGCAGGGCCAGCTCTCTCTCACCTCTGGTTGGCTTGTCCACACCCCTGCCACCAGGGCCAGCAGCTCCACTATGCTGCCTGGTGAGCTGCAGAGCCTGCTCTCCTGACTGCTGCTGCTGGTGAGAGGTGGGGTCAGCTCTCCTGAGCACAGTAGCCAGTGAGGGACAACCAGTTCAGCACAGCCCCTGGACATGTACATGGTCCCTGGTGGCTTCCCAGACCAGGGATGTCCCCATGTTCTCTAATGATAATATCAGCCACAAACATTGCCACTGACCCCTGACACTGAATAGCCACAGACCTAGACATGGCCCTCAGTGGTAGCTTAGGCTGGGACCTCACCATGGCCCCAAGTGGAGGGCTGGCCATTCACAACAGGCTACTCCCCTCCACCCTCGAGTCTCCAGTTCCATCTCTCTTCCTAATGTTTAAGTGGGTCCACTTCTTTTTCTGTCCACCACATTCTTGCACATGTGGTTGCTCCCACTGCAGGATAGCCACATGGCCGGAAGGCCCTGAGTGACATCATCTGTCTGCACCATATGTTGTGGAGACAAGCAGGTGTCTACCACCCACCTGTAAGGTACACAGGAGAGCAGATCTGTGGGTGACATGTGGTCTAGAGGTCCCTGTCTGTTTTCCTCCTCCCTTGCTGCAGGGCTCTGTTTATCTGTGGCCGCCTGTGCCATGAGGTAGAGGGCAGGTCTGGGGCATCGTTCCCTGTCAGCAGCACCTGACATAGCAGACACAGGTCTCTGTCTGTCTCCCTCCTTCCTCAGTGTGCTGCCTGGATTTAATTGACTTGATTTGTATGTGTCCTAGGCATAAAACAGCTTTGGCCACCAAGCCAGGCATCAAGCTAGGATGAACAAAGGACTGCCATCTGCTCTGTCCCTGACTGACATAAGAACAGTACCACCAACGTGTATCTTTGCCCATTGTGGTGGCGGTGGGAGGCGTGACACGGATGTCGAATAATCTTGTAAAAGAAGAACGATTATGTTTGGGATGCTTTTTAAAAGTCTTGCCAGTCAACTCTAGCACGCTGCTTTCCAGCCTTTATCTTCCGTCTTCCTCCATCTTGTGACTCCATCAGGCAGCAGGAAAAAGACCGTGCCATTCTGCTGAGTCACAGGTGATCCCAAGACAGAGGCTGCCATGCTTCCCTCCTGCCCCTTCTGCCCTTCCGCTCAGTTGCCAAGTCTGTGGAAGAAATGCTTTCCATTGCTACTTGTCAGCCTTACTGCCGAATCCTCATTCACTATCTCTTCAAATATCTCTTCTGTCTCACTCTTCATCTTCTGGGGCTCGTGCTAAACATAGCTTGGGAGTTGCTGTCCCTCAGAGCAGCTCTTGGTACCTTGGTTGTTTGCTTTCCCCCAGTCTTCCCATTTTCTCTTTGTGTTTCAGTTCAGATGGCTTTAATTCACCTGTGTTCAAGCTCAGTGGCCCTTTCCTCAGTCCTGCCTTGCTGCCGAGAACTGGCTGGAGCATTTTTACCACAGACAACATGGTTTTATTTGTAGCATTTCCATTTGACTTATACTTTGTATGTCTCCGCAGGATTCCCCATCTGTTCTTGCAAGTTGCTCACTTCTTTCCACAAGACCTTTTAACGAATTAATTATAATTATTTTAAAGCCCTCGTCTGATAATTCAACATCTGTGTCATATGTGATTCTGGGTCTACTGACTTCTTTTTAAACAACAGATCTGAGTCGAGATTTTTTTTTCTTTTCTGCCTTTTTGTGTGTTGTGGGTGGATTTTTTGGGGAGCAGGGGGAGAGTGTTTGTTTCCTCTGCTTTTTTTTTTTTAACTGAATGCCCATGGTATATAAAACAGCAGAGATTGGAGTCAATAGTAAACAGCATTTAAGCCTGAAAGTGAACATGCCCCTGCCTGCAGCCTGATGGTATAAGAGGGTAAAGTCAATCTGGTTGGGAGTCAGGCAGTTTGGATCTCACGACTCTCATTATCTCCCCATGCAGCCCAGGCGTCAAACTCCCCTGTGCTGCTTAGAGTGGGCACATGTCAGGAAACCTGTGCTCCTCAGCAAGCCTCCAAGGCTTTTCATATGTCCCCACTTGCTGCCCCTCTAGCAGCCCGGGCCACTTGTTGCTTATTTGACATTTAGCCTCATGCAGGATGGAGTTTGCTTTCCTACTATCCTAGCTTGGCTTCTGCTTTAACAATTAAAAACAAGCCGGGCAGTGGTGGCACATGCCTTTATTCCCAGCACTTGGGAGGCAGAGGCAGGCGGATTTCTGAGTTCGAGGCTAGCCTGGTCTACAGAGTGAGTTCCAGGATAGCCAAGGCTACACAGAGAAACCCTGTCTCGAAAAACAAACATACAAACAAACAAAAAATTAAAAACAAATTTAGGTGTGTGTGTGTATGTGTGTGTGTGTGTGTGTATGTGTGTATGTGTGTATGTGTGTGTGTGTGTGTATGTGTGTATGTGTGTATGTGTGTATGTGTGTGTGTGTATGGGGTGTGTGTGTGTATGTGTGTATGTGTGTGCCTCTCTGTGTGTGCTGTGTGTGTGTATGTGTGTGTGCCTCTCTTGTGTGCTGTGTGTGTGTGTGTGTGTGTAAGTGCACATGTCTGTGCAGGAGCTTGTGGAGGTCAGACATGGACACTGGATCAGACATGGACACTGGATCCCCTGGAACTGGAGTTACTAGTTGTCAGCCACCATGTGGGTACTGGGAGCTGAACTTGGGTTTTCTGCAAGAGCAGTGAGTTATTTTTAGTTACTGAGCTAACTCTCCAGACCCAGCCTTAACAATGTTTAAAATTATGTTTATTTGTGTGTGATCTCACACATATGTGCACCACAGAATACATGTAGAGGTCTTGCACAACACACAAAATAATTCTCTCCTACCATGTGGATCCTGGGGATTGAACTCAAGCTCTCCGGTGTGATGGGCTAGTCTTGGTTGGTAACTTGACTCCACCTTGAATTAACTAAGACTCAAGAGGCTGGATACACCTGTGAGAAATGTTTTTCTTAATTAAATCACATGAAGTGGGAAGATCCACTTTTAATCCAGACCTTCTGAGGTGGGAAGATCTATCTTTAACCTGGGTCACACTCTCTGGTTGCGACCTATATAAAGGACTTGCGAGAAGGAAGCACTCTCTTTCTCTGTGTGCCCTCCCTCTTGATGGCAAGCCCATTATTTGGCTGCATTAGAGCCTCCTTTTTTGAGATTCTGGTATATACTGAAGACCAGCTAAGACATTTAGCCTCGTAGATCAAGCAACTATTAGATTCTTGGATTTACCATCAGGAAACAGCCATTGTTGGACTGGCTGGACTACAACCTGTAAACCACACTAAGAAATCACCTTTGTGGGTGATTTAGATTAATTCCATCAGTTCTGTTACTCCAGAGAGCCCTGACTAATACCCAGCGAGCTATCTCACTTGCTCTCAGCTTCAGACTTGAGCAGGTCCTATAAAGCTGAGCTTCATAGTTGGAGCTTAGGGCTGGAGAAACGGCTCAGCAGTGCAGACCACGTACGATCCTTACAGAGGACCCGGCTTCGGTTTCTAACACCCACATTTGGCAGCTTAGAACTGCCTGTATCTGAGTACCAGGGGACACACTGCCAACTTCTTGGCATCACTAGGAACCTGCATGCATTGACATACTTTTTGGCTTGGCTTTTTGAGACAGGGTTTCCTCTATGTAACCTTGACTCTCCTGGTAGAAAGTCTCTAGACCAGTCTGTCCTGGAACTCAGAGACCTGTCTGCCTTTGCCTCCTGAGTACTGGGACTAAATGCTGACTGATGAATCCAGGCTGACTAATTCAATTTGACTTCTTTCTCTCCTTCTCTCTTAACCTTAAACTAACTCTAGCAATCTGTTCTATTCTTCTGGCTCCTTCTCATTCTCTGACTCATTCTGTCTTCACTTGTATTCTAGCTTTTGCTCTCTGTGACCTGTCTCTGTACAACCGTCCTGGTAAAACTGCCTCCTACCTCTCTGTCACTGTCTTTTCTGCTGTCTCTTTCTCTGTGTCTCTCTCTCTTTCTTCACTACTCTCTTCTCATGGGGATATCCTATCAAATCTTACTCTGATTCATCACTTTACCACTCAATTAGACATCACTTTCAAACATGGGTGCTTCCTTCTTCAAACTAACTTTACTTTCATTGCTTGGGATTAAAAGTGTGTCCTAAAGGCTGAACCACACCACAACTAGAAACAGGTTTGTTTGTTTGTTTGCTTGCTTGCTTGTTTTCAGTAAATAAAACAATCTCAGGGTTCAAAATGGGATCAAATATCCTGCAACAGAGCTAGGGCTTTCTCAGTTCCTGCTTCTCCTCCCCATGGCAGCCAAACTCGACCTGTAGCTGACTTTAGACAGCTACAAATGATGTCATCCTCCCTGCAGCACAGCAAGTGTTTGCTGATTCTTCAACCTACAATTTCTTGCTCCTGGCCCTGGGACACACAGAGCTTCTCTTGCCACTGTTTTTCGTCCTCACTGTCCTCTTAGAGTCTAAGAACTCACTCTGTAGTTCCCACTCTCCACCCCAGCCTCCCCAATGCTGAGGTTATAGGCATAAGCACCGACCATGCTCATCCTATACAAACAAACCAGCTCATTGGGCTTTCTTTGCATTTCATGTCTATCTTTTCCCAAAAGCAATGATCTTTGGCTATGTGTAGTGAGTTTCTACTTGCTAAAAACAGATGAGTCTTGTTTTCATCCTCTTCCTGAAGCTAGAGGCTATTGCCTCTTTCCCCAGTGACTTAAGGCTTTTACTTAACAGAAGATGACTGTGGAAATGATTGAGGAATTTTTATTTCCCCTGCAGCTACCACCTGGACAATTTCTGTGGGCTGTGTCTCCAAGGAGGAAGTGTCTCCTGCTCTGTTCCCACTTTGAGGTCCTCAGGAGACAGGTCTCTTGAAACAAGGCTGCTTGTGTAAATTTCTTGTCTCTGAAATGGTATCTCACATTTTTTCTTCTTTCCAGTGCTGAGTATCCAACCCAGTGTCTTATGTATGCTACCCAAGTGCTTCACCACTGAGGTACATCCCAAGCCAGTCTAAAGGGATGTGATCATCCACAGACAGATAGCCTTCACACAGCTGTTAACATTTTTGCATACTTCTTTTTACCTACTGTATGGCAGTCACATCTTTGCCAGAGTTGTAGTAGTTTCTGTATGTGTACCTAGGGCTCTAGGAAGGGGCTTTACTTGATTGCCTTGCGACCTCTGATTTCTTATCAGTTTAAGAAAACTTATGGGGCTGGAGAGATGGCTCAGTGGTTAAAAGCACCAACTGGTCTTCCAGAGGTCCTGAGTTCAATTTCCAGCAACCATATGGTGGCTCACAACCATCCATAATGGGGTCTGATGCCCTCTTCTGGTGTGTCTGAAGAGAACAATGGTGGTGGACTCATATGCATAAAATAAATAAATAAATCTTTAAAAAAATAAAAGAAAACTTATGATTAAAACTGGGCATAGAGTTGCTTGGTAGAGCACTTGCTTAACAGTAGGAAGGCTCTGGCCAGGCAGTGGTGGCGCACGCCTTTAATCCCAGCACTTGGGAGGCAGAGGCAGGTGGATTTCTGAGTTCGAGGCCAGCCTGGTCTACAGAGTGAGTTCCAGGACAGCCAGGGCTACACAGAGAAACCCTGTCTTGAAAAACAAAACAAAACAAAAAAAACAAAAACAAAAAAACCCAAACCAAACCAAACAAAACAAAAAACCCAGTAGGAAGGCTCTGGATTCAATCTTCAGCATCATACATAAAGAAACCAAAACATCTTTGCCACTAGAGAAGTGGTGGCACATACCTTTAATCCTAGCACTCAGGAGGCAGAAGCAAGTGGATCTCTGAGTTTGAGGCCAGCCTAGTCTACAGAAGGAGTTCCTGGGTAGCCGAGCTACACAGAGAAACCCTGTCTCAGAAAAG